TGACACAAACTTCCACCCCACTCTAGCCTCTCCTTTAATGTAGCTTCTACCTGGCTTGGACTCCCTTTTCTCTCGTACTAACAACGAACATATGATGCGTGGCACATGACCGTTGTAAAGGCCTGACTCCAGAATGCTCTTCTCCGGATCACCACGCCCCAAATCCAAATAACGTTGGTAGTAAAATAAAAACCGGACTGGCCTCTAACTTCAAAAGCGAGACATTCAGGATTGTAACCTACCATGCAAAATGAGAAGCGGGTGAATGAGCATGATAACCCTTTTGGACAACAGAGCTGCGGCAAGATTTCAGTCTCAGCGGGAGAGCCAATTTCCGTGGCGGGAGCGAGGTTGTTTAACGTTTCGCAATGGGAGCTAAGAGGAAGATAATACGCACTTACAGATGCAACAGTATCGTGCATCGGGTGACCCAAATGAGGGCAACTACGCACCGGTAATTACAGTCTGATCGTTGGGCTCTCGGCGGCGAGGGCGACATGGATGCCGGGGCTGAGGGTGGTGGACCACAGAGGCGTGGCGTGGGACTGCTACGTACGAAACACATAGTACCAAGAGTACAAAGTATGAGTGGGAGTAACTGCTAGTCAGGAGACGTCATTTCAATAGCAATGGAGACGTGGCCGATAGATCATCGTGTTAGCGTGCGCAACACGTTTATTCTAAAGTTTGTAAAACAACACAAACACGTTTTCGGAATCATTTCAATGTTGCCCGCCATGGTCATGTTCCGTAGTTTGCCACTATAATGAAAGGGTGGATAACTTTGAACCGACTGGATCTACGAGATCCAAACTGCACGGGGAAGCGATCAAACAGTTGGGACACCGGAAGGCATCGTTCATGCACGAATATACCGTATACCATCAACTGCATGAGTATGCCGTATAAATGAACGTTGAAGGTTGGCTTGACCTTCCTTCATTAGCGCCAAGGTAATCTAAAGCTAATGTGTCGCGCTGTTCAAATCATCCATACTTCCCTGCCGGACTCGGTATAAATAAGCTGCAACATCATAAACATCCATGACGCATCAGACTTGCTTAACTGGTAATATGAAGACTTACTGTATTGACTGCGTGACCAGATTGTTATACTTCATTCGAGGACCTGCATTGTGACACAAGATATATCATGCAATAATGTCAAATTAGTCAATGACCAATTTAACATGTTAATCGGTAGCGTGTTCCATGCTTGCTGGTATCGCAAAATTTTCGTTTAAGGGACGAGGTAAAAATACGAATAAGGAATACCCTCGTCGTTGGCATTCTTCACTAGAATAACTACACACTGCGCTACAGATGACACCAAACAAGGAGATCATGATGTTGCACATCGATAGTGACAATTTATCGTTCGCCATTCCTTTAAATTAATAAACTAACGAAATATATTCACATTAAATTAATAAACTAAGGAATATATTCACACATTAAATTAATGCACATATGTTTGATCATAGTTTTCAGCATTTCCTTTTACTACAAATTATCCTCCATTCAGCACTCATTAGCAGATTGGAAAAATCTACGAAAATTACGATCGATGGGAAATGAGTTGATCATTAATCAAGGCTTAAATTTATCATCACCAAACAAAAGAAGGTACACTAACACCTAAATGCATTAGTTTAATGCACACAATCATGGTCGTTGTAGAATGTATTTAGAACTATTGGATCTTGTTAAGAATAAGCACCCCCAGTAACGTCAGAAGTGCTTATTCTTAACAAGATCTGAACACTTTCTCGAAATATGTTATGAGCCATTCGTGAATAATAGATTACCAAAGTTATTCTCCAAAGGTTTATCGTGGCGTGCGTTTTATAAACAATGTCATACTGGGGAACTATTAAGCATCTAATATTAATTAATCTTACATTAATTAATTAATAGTTCGGTCATACATCCGAGCTATTAAGCATCTTCACAGCCCGTTAAATATCACAAAAACAATAACCACAAAGAAAACAAATGCTATTACATATTTAGCTTAAAGCACCTGTGATCTCACTGTGCACTGCACAGCGCCGACGAACACACCTACAAATTCAAGATATTCAGCACCTGCGACGTCGACTACGAGTATAGGGCGAGTATAGCCAAGAGCGGCACGTGGAGCGAGATCTATATTGCGTCTCATTTAAACCTGAAGCGCAAAATCTTCACACACAATAAACTACTCAGAGCTAATATTAATTACGAAAAATATTAATTTGCTTATAATTAGGCATTATTATGCCAACGCTTTGTTGAATGCGGAAAAATAAATTTCTTCCACAATAAAGCATGCAAATTATTTTCCTTAAAATTCCTCAACTATCTAAACCATTGGATGCAATTGCAGGAGGATTCCACATTAACAATTGGAAAATATTTACGTTTAATTCCAGCTGAGCAATAAAAGTTTTGTAGTCTCCATTTAATTAAAAAAATTACACTTAATCACTGGTTGAATGACGGTACATACACATTACACCATAGTCTGGAATACCAAACGTGGAAGCCCAGTGTTACATTCACAGCCTTTAGAGCCCATACGCTACCACTGGTCAATATCAAATAGTCTATAACTATATCAAATATATAGTCACAACATATCAAATACATAGTACAATCAAATCTCACCTAATGCAGGTGGCTAGGGTAAAACTGGCAGCAACCATCGAGCTAAGATTGAAACAAATTGTTCATAAAATATTTACAGTAGCTACTGCAATGGATTTAAAAACCTATTAACGAGTATTGACATCGAGGTAACACAGTCAGTTGCAGGGATCAGGTACGCGTGACGCGATTTAAAATTAAACTTACAATTAAAAAAAATTAGATCGGCCCCACAAGCTACCGTTACGTAAATTTCATGTAAACGCGCACCCTATGAGAATTATAACTCTTAATGATTAAAAGCATCACAACAATCTCAACTCTAAACTTATTGCACGAGGTTTCTTGTCAGCAATGATCATGCAGGCAAAACGCTAGCGCAGGTGTCAGGACAGCATGCAGTAAACGAGTCGATGAGAAGGCTCATTTGAGTTTGAAAAGTAAAAACAATTCATCCAAGCGTGTCACTAACGCTTAAGAGTTTCACATAAAATATATAATTTTCAACAGAAACCCTGGAGGAATAACGCCTTGTGGATATTCGCAGAGCAACTGCAATATTCGTGAGTGTTGGTTTCCTTCACCGAACAACGACTCAACTAATGACAAAAGTTTTCAATAGACATACGAATAAGGAAATAGCTACAACACAATTATGAGATCTAGGACAGTTATCACATTTTCATGCTTTAGACCATCTTGTTATTAAATGCAAAATACAGTAATTAAAGTTCTGGAGTTCATATGACACAAGGGAACATCTCGGTGATGGTGCACGTGTCACACAAAATCTCTTCAGTGCATTCATCTCATTCAGCTAATGTAGCGGCATCGCTATCAAATGACCTTCACGCCTCACAAAACACAACAACATATATTTACTTTACATTAATGATTAGCAGACCAAATGATTACCTCAGAGCGAGAGCAGGAACTAAAACTTGTGCTTAATGCGACCACTGCATTGAGAGACGAGTCAGTCTAGGCAAACATTGTCAATTTGTTCATATCGATCCCGGCGTGAAAACATTACGAGCGTCATGATATGGGAACATTTCATATTATAAATATTGTTGTGCATGAGCTAACCAGTTCGGCAGGTCGCACTGAATGAAACTAGCAAGTCGTACGTACAACTGTAGTCAGTGTTTAAAACGAAACAAAACGATTCCAAAGAATCATTTATATTAAAAGCAAACATTTAAAATCACGTATTTGTTAAAATAAATTAAATTATTAAATAATGATACATTTGTGCGTTTAACACATAGGAAACTTCTCAACGCTATTGTATCACACAACAATATCACAGAGCGTCTGACCGCTCACCGTAGCGCCGCTGATCAGCGAGGTGGGAGCGGCGGCTGCGGTTTGGCGACATGAGGCGAGGACGATCCGTGGACTTGACGTGCAGAGCAAGAGACGTCGTGGAGGAGAGCTGGTCAATGGTGTGGAGAGCTGGCGTCAGGAGAACGTTCTCCATGGACATCGTTAGTGCTTTTTTCAGGGTTCCATTTTTTCAGGGTTTTTATAAACATTTCAGGGTTTGCCTATAGGACCTTAAGAAGATCTCAGATTTCTTGGTGGATGATTTTCACCCGGGAACGGTCCCGTCTCAACCATTCTTTCACTTCAACTCAAATTTCACTAATAAAATACATTCCACCATATCCATAGAGGCCAGTCTGGAAATCTGACTTTTTTGGCTAAATAGGTTCACTTTAAAACCTCCATTACTGAATTTTACAACTGCACTAATTTATCAGATATTGATTCAAAATTAGATGTGCAATGCCTTCCAGAAAAACAAATGGATGAAACACGTAAGATTGCCTATAATGAGATGACGGCACGCAAGCTCCGCGCACTTCTCAATACTCGGCTACTCTAACCTTCCCACCCCATCCATGCTATATTTCTGTGGACCTCGCGGCAATCGAAGTGTTTGCAATATTTAAACCATTTTCCATAAGAAAAGATTCATCAAGGGGCGTCAGGTAATTCAAGGAATTCAAAGCTTCAAGTAACTAAAATTTTATGGAATGGCTATCAAACACCATTCTTGATGCTTTATGTTTTGAATGATCTACTATTTACAAATAATCACGCGAATCACAAAAATCTTAAACCAACCCCACTTTGACCAATGCTTCACTCACTGAAGATCGGACGAAATATTATACTTGTTGCACTGAACCAAAGACGATATACGTGAAAGACAGTTGGGTCCTTGAAGGGTAAGAAGGATCTTCGATAGGCAGTGGGGGACTCGTCGATAAACAGGGAGGGCGCTCGTAAACAAAGAGGGTATTCCAGCATATTCGGGGCCGCCTCATCCATCCAACTCTAAGTCTATAGAAGAAGCAGACTCACCTATGCAGCGACCGCAGCAGATAGAGCAAGCGAAGAAATCCGAGTTTTTCCACGCTTGCGAGGAAGCTTTGTATTTCAGAGCTTCCGGAAACGTGCGGCGTTGCCGCCTCTCTTGCCGCTGGTATTCTTCAGGACCCGCCGACCTCCTCCGACCGGGGAAGATACGGGACCCAGCCTCAGGTGCACAGGCACTCTATCGCCAGCCGGGTCATCTGCAAAGGTTTAGCTATTATATCGTACACATATATATTATACGCGGACGAATAATGACCAGAGAATGCACTTTATTATATTTCAATTTTTAGGGAATCAATTATTCATACGCGTTTAAATAAGAGAATTCTGCCACCTAATGCTAATACATATTATACATATACCATAAATACAGTCGTAACATTTTCCAAACCAACTAAGAAAAAGTCAATCTTTAGAGTTGATCTTTACACAGCGAAAAAATTACTCTGAATCAAGAATTAAGTTTGGACTCACGAAGATCATTTCCAAGGTGCTTGCTCTTCGGTTCAGCGTCGACGGAGACTGGCTTCTCGCGGTTGCTGGCCCAGCCGCCATCGCGACTCCGTCTTCCTCCGACTTCTAGGATTTGCTTTCCCGATTCCTTTACGTCTCTGTTCCGTCCGTATTTTCGGTGGTGTTTTTCGTTCACTCTGTTCCTACTGGACGGCCGCTCGTCTGAAGTATCGAGTGCGCTATCACCATGGCGAGATGTAGAAGCAGGAGGTTCGGCAAGGTCATTCTTGAGAACGAAGATCGTTCGTGTAGGAACTTGAGGACGACCGTCTTTTTCAACACCAACGTCACGGTTGTCAGCGCCATGCAGAGGTTTTCTTGACTTGCGTGCATTGTGAGGACTCGTGTCGAAGCTGCTGTCAGCATCATCTGCGATCTTGCGCTTAAGCGTGTAGCGTAAATCTTCACTGGAAGACTCCGAATGTCGGTCTGCAAATTAAAATGCTTGAAATTGAGAAATGTATACGCTAAGCATAATGTTTTTAAACATAATTTGTTAACTTTTACAACCATCGATAGTATGATTGAACGTAATCCGACAAAAACGAAATTTTTAATGGCCTAGTTTAGTTAACCATTCAAGATGAATAGTTCGAAAGATTCAAGGCTCTCAAAAATATATCAATGCTGGCACAGAGCTACGAAATATTGCACATTTTCAACTATGATATTGATAAAAGTAGGTACAACACGATACAAGAAAGGCCGCGAAGTGGTGATATCCACTATCATAAAATGTACAACAAACGAATAAATGGTACAGAGACAGCAGATTAACTACACACCTTGCTTGCGTTTAGGGGCGTAATCTTCTTCCTGGGAGCCTTCCTCATCAGACGTGCGGGCTGGCTTCTTGCTCTTCTTCGCTTTCTTCTTCTTCTTGTCTTTCTTCTTTTTCTTCTTTGGAGACTTCGTCCTTTTCTCAGGTTTAGTTTCCTCTTCTCCTTCTACCACTTCTTTTTTATTTTTCTTTCTGGAAGCTGCTACAGACTTTCTCTTGGAATTGGGCTCATTCTCGACTTCAATAGCTCGCTTCTTTTTCTTATGTTTTTTGATAACTTTACTGCCATCTTCTATCTTATCTTCCTCCCGTTTTCTTTTCTTTGAGCGTTTCTTCTCAGCGTCAACAGCTGAACTTTCTCTTTCCGACTTCTTATTTCGGTCCGATTTATCGGCTATGGATGATAAATCGTCCTCTCTAGTTTTACCAGAACGTTCCTTGCGTTTCTTGGTTTGTCCTTCGCGGTCACTTCGCTCTTCATTCCTACTATGCGATCTGCTCTGCTGTTCCGTGCGCTTATTCGCACTATCACTCCTGTCTTGAGATCGTCTCACCAAACGAGATTCCATTTTCGTGCGAAGAGTTTCATCAGTTCTACGGTCACCGGACTTCATATCTTCCCTTTTACTCTCGCGCGATGCATCTCGCTTTAACCTATCTTCACGTGGCCTGGAATCTCGACTTGAACTTTCATTTTGGTTTTGATCCATCCGCCGGTCGTTTCCTTTACGATGCAAATTCGAACCCCGTCCACGCTCCAAATTATCCGACTTGGATTCCATCTCTGGTTGATCTCTCCGCTTGTCAATTCTGTAATCTCGACCAAAATTTTTGCGATGTTCGCGATCGTGATCCCTTCTATTGATGTCAGTTGGTTTTTTGCTATAACGATCATTAATTGGTCTGGATTGGGGTTCAAATCTAGACTCGGTCTTCAAGCGGCGGCTTTCGAATCTTGGGTCATCCTGCACAGATACTCTGTCTCTTCCGAGTTTCACCAATCGATCATGGACGTTTGCTGGATGACGGTCATTCCTACTGTAATCGTTCCTGTAGCGACCATCGCTAGCACCATGGCTGTCCGACCTACTAGAATCACGAGCTGAATTTTTCTGAATGTATTCGTGTGCACCCGCTCTACCAGAGCCGGTTTGAACACTCTCGTTAACCTCCCGTTTATCGCCATGAACGCGTCGACCACGTTCACGATCCCGATTTTGTTCATATTCATTCGATTCTTCTTTCTTTGTCAGTGAATTACTGTGTTTGATCTCGCTTCCTGAAGCTCTATCACGAGCTTTAGCCAGTAGCCCCTGATCAATACACTCTTTGACCGTATTGACTTTGGGATTTTCTGGAGACACGAAGTCCAATTCAGAGTTAGGGCCAAATGCATGCTCTTCGTCCAAAGGAACGTGCATTTCAATTCCAATATCATGAACATCAGTACTTTCATCGGCAGATTCCTTATTTTTCAAGCTATTATCCACTCTCAAAGTATGCATTTCGGAAGGAGAAAAACTAGGGGTGGTCTTATCTGGCACACCAGAAGGAGACCCACATGGAGTGGTAGGGCCTTTCTTTTCATTTTTTACTTTGCTCACGGCGGCAGGAACTAGCTCGATGGGTGCAACATCTGCAATTGAAGCAGAATCTGTAGCGTTAATGTTTTTCATTGTTTCTCCATCTGTTGCACGTTCGCTTTCGACAGGATTTTCTGGCCCCTTTTCCAGCAGATCTTGAGACCCTTTTGTAACCTCACTATCTGGTCTTTGAGCTTTCTCAAAACTGTCGAGAATATGTTCTTCAGCTCTATCCGATTGTGAAAGACGGCGACTATTGGGCAACGTAGGAGTAGATAACTGTTCATAAGCAACCGGTCTACGAGATTCGTTGGAACGGTTGTCACCGGAAACTTCTAAGTTGCTCTTGCTGCTCATGGGACGCTTATCATTGCGTTGGATTTTACTTGAAGATTCTGGTCGTCCTCTATCATCGTTATGGAAGTTACCTCTATCGGAAGTTTTGTCATCACCGCGATTTAACCGTTGTTTTGTTTCTACCCTTCTTGTTCGCTGATCGTTATCGTGTTTTTCCTTATTTGGTCTTTCGACGTCTCCTCGCGGGGGCCGGGAGTGAAGTGCCTTTTCTTGGCCACGACCTCTGCCATCCGGATGATTAGGAGAACCACGTCGTGTGAACCGCGCTTCAGGCCGCTCATTAGTTCTATTGCCGCCTCGATCATCGTTGTGGACTCTGGGTCTTTGCAAGCCTTTAGTATGATCGAACAATCCTCGGCACGCACCGTCCGGTGAATTGCGGTTCTTCCTCGGGATTTCACCTTGTCCATCTCGATCTCGTTGCATGTTGAGAGGAAAGGTTGGATCAAATTTAGGAGCATTGAGAAATGAACTATTACGGCCACCTAAAGTTACATCTTGTGCGCCGTCGCGGATGCCCCGCTGTTCAGTCGCATGCATTTCTGATTCACGCCGAGAATCTAATTGAGACGAAGGGTTTTGACGCTTTCTACCGAGGGGAGTTTCATTGGCACTTGAAAGAACGCTACTCGGGTCATCTCTGGCACGTTCCCTGTGACCCACTCCGCGCACAGCAGAAGGATTTCGGGAGAAATTTCGGTTCTCTACAGAAGAGGGCAGATCACCCAATAAACCTACATCATTACCTCTCGCATAGGGGTTATTGAATTCCCCTGGCACCATTTTTCCAGGGAATAATGGTGGTATTGGATTATTACCTATCCCCTGCATTCCTCGTCCACCTCTACCAAAACGCTCAAATGGAGTATTCATGCCTCGAATATTTCCATGTAATACTCGACCTGCACCGTAATTGCCGAATTCAGGTTTGGGCCAAATGCTGGGAGGATTTTGTCGATTAGAAAACTGATCTTCATAACAGTTAGACCGTAACATTTCACCTTGTAGATTATGGCGCGGGTTCCTGAAATCAGATGGCTGGCCAGGACGAGCGATCATTTCACGATTTTCGATGTTCCGATTATGCTGATTGGTAACAAAATGAGGCGGACGAAGTTCTCGGTAAGAATCTGAAGAAAATTCAGAATTGAAAGGAGCTCTACGAACAAAAGTATCTCGCGTTACGTCTGCATAACATTGCGGTTCAGACATGCGCTGTGGAGATAGCGACGTTCGGCCACGTGCGAAAGGGAAATGGGATGCAAGATTACCATCAGGCGGATAGCGTTGAACACGTTCATTCAAGAAATGACGTTGGAATTGAGGCTGACCGGAAATTTCGGGAGACCAAGATCGCCGAGATGGACGGGAATTTCCCATGAAATTATCAGAAATAGGGCCATATCCCGGACCAAAATTAGTGTTCGTTGGTGATCGAGATTTGAGCATGAAACTTTTAGATCCTGGTGATGACGATTTTCTTCGATTCACAGACCTACTGTTCGGAGACATTCTTGCACGGGACGCTGGAGACGAAGAGCGACGATTAATTGGAGATCGAGGATATCTTTGAATATCCCGAGCATTTTGTCCAAAAGATTGCCTCAAACTAGTCTCACCTGGATGAGGTCTCAAACTCTCACTTGGAGGAGGTCGAAGTGTTGATTGGGATGATCTAACAGTTCTTCCTGGAGAACGCTGAACAGGAGAGTATCGTCCTGGTGATTTGGAAGTACTGCGATAATATCGCGGAAATGCCTTGCCAAGTTTCTGCAAGTTCGGGTCAGAGGGGACTAGATTTTTATGATAGTGTAACTCTCTTGAAGGTGACCTACACGTTTTATGCGAGGGACGTGGTTGGTTTTCAGATGAAATCTTTTTATCCATCTTCATTGGCGACTGCGACCTTCGCATTGGAGGTCTATTTCCTAACCTCCGAGGCGATGTTGCGTGATGATGTTCAATTAAACGACGGGAGGGCGAATTCGAATTCATTCCGACACGCCTTTTTGGAGAAAGTGAGGAGCGAACAAGAGATCTTGAAACGCGTCCCGCGGGCGACGATGCAGTGCAACGGTTGGAGTCGACTTCAAATGTCGAAGACCCATTTCTCCTGGATGGTGGCATTGGACTGTCAAGAGCGACAGGCTTACACAAATTTTTGGATTCTGGAACAGAATGAGAATCATTTCTTGATCGTGATTGAGAGCGAGAGCATCTTCTGATTTGAGATCGAGATGCTAATTCAGGAGGCGACTTTGAGCGTCGTCTGGCAGGAGATCGAGACTTCCGATTGGAAGATGACAGAGAAACAACTTGTTTGGGGGGCGATTTGGAAAGCGAGTTCTGATTGGAACTCGCACCTTTAGCTGGAGGAGAACGAGGGCCGGGTTTGGATGATGAATGAGAACGCCTAAGAACCGATTGAGGTCCACGAAGAATTGGAGATCGAGAGCCACGTTGAATAGGTGAGCGTAAGCCTCGACGAATAGGTGATTGTGAGCCTCGACGAATAGGCGATCGTGAGCCTTGACGAATAGGCGATCGTGAGCTTCGACGAATAGGCGATCGTGAGCCACGACGAATAGGCGATCGTGAACCTCGACGAATAGGCGATCGTGAGCCTCGACGAATGGGCGATCTTGGGCCACGACGAATGGGCGATTGTGAGCCACGACGAATGGGTGATCGTGAGCCATGCCGAATATGAGATCGTGACCAACGATGAAGAGGTGAACGTGAATGACGACGAATAGGAGATCGCGAGCCATAAGGAATAGGAGATCGTGAGCCACGTCGCATAGGCGATCGTGAGCTACGGCGAATGGGCGAACGAGAACCAGGACGAATTGGCGAACGGGAGCCACGTCGAATTGGCGAACGGGAGCCACGTCGAATGGGCGAACGGGAGCCACGTCGAATGGGTGATCGTGAACCACGTCGAATGGGCGAGCGTGAGCCACGACGAATGGGCGAGCGTGAGCCACGACGAATGGGCGAGCGAGAGCCACGGCGAATAGGCGATCGAGAGCCACGACGAAGAGGCGAGCGTGAGCTACGACGAATTGGAGAACGAGAGCCACGAGGAAGGTGTAAATGCGGACTATGAGGACCTGGAGAAAGCGACTTACGTTTGATCAGCAATCGCGAGTCAAGACCACGAATAGGCGAACGAGAGCCTCGACGAGAGAGTGAAGAAGAACGACGTCGATAAGGTGACCGTGAATTGCGACGATAAAGAGAACGCGAGCGGCGACGATAAGGCGAACGGGAACCACGTCGATATGGCGAACGGGAATCTCGACGATAAGGCGAACGGGAATCTCGACGATATGGCGAACGAGAATCTCGACGATACGGAGAAAGATACTTTCGGCGGTACGGTGAACGGGAATTAGGACGCATTGGCGAACTTCGTAGCGGTTGAGGAGGAGAGCCTCGACAGGAAGGCGTTTCTTGTGGATTTATCAACGGCGGTTGCACGACTCCCTTGATTGGTGTATTTACAGATGAATTAGAAGATTCAAGTTTTACATTTAGAGAGGAGTTAGTAGCACTAAGACTTTGAGTAGATGAAGGGATTTCGAATTCATGCGCGGGTGGATGACCTATCGATCGTATTGGTTCACTAATGCTGCCAGATTCGTTAGCAAGCTGTGGCAAAGCGACACCTCGAGCCACAGCTGCCGCTGGATCATTCAATTCAAGGGAATTGCCAATAGTGCGAGGGTTAATTGAGTTCGATACGAAGTGTTTTTCACTTTCCTGATCCAGTTCTTTCTTAATGGATGAAGTAAATCCATCGGAATCCGACGTGACTTTGGCAAAGTCTTGCTTTGAATCTTTTTGGTTTTTATTACTCTGGGATTTGCTTTCTGGACCTTTCTTGTTCTTACCACGGTTTTCATCTTCACTGTCGGAAGAAGATTCACTGCTTGAACCCGAATCAGAACTGGAGCTACTAGAGCTAGACTGACCACTGGATGATGACCCAGATTCAGAACTGTCTGAATCACTCTCACTTTCAGAGTCAGAACTCTGGAGTCGTTGCCAACGAGCACTAACATTCGTCTCCATTTTTTCAGTATGTTTTGATGCGATATTTTTATTAGCATACTTGTCTTGAGGAAGTGCCAGGGACGAAGTCGAGGTATCAGGAAATTTACCTGCATAATTTCTACGATTCGAAGGATCCCCACGGCTTTGCTGCATCCCACCATAGGTCTGCCCCATTCTATTCTCCATGGGATGACTTGTATTGAAGCGGTCATTGTCGGGTGCCATTCTTCCACGCCACTGAGGCGAATTATATCCTCTGGGAACATGGGCACTGCGATTCCCCTCACCACTGAAGTGATTCGGATTTCCTTCTGGGTGATTTCGAAACCCATGCTGATGGGGTGACCAGTTTTGAGGAACATTCATATTCTCAGGGCCGGAAGACGTCAAAACAGCTATACTGCTTCCACTGCCATGTGCAGATATCTCTGCATGATGATCATGGGCGATCTGGAATTAGGTATGAAATAGAACTTAGTGGCCAATATCTTCCATTTAATGCATCAGAAAGTTAAAGAAACATTTACTGAAATTGGAAAGTATGCTAAAGACATTACGAGACGGAAAGTTGCACAAGGAGGTGCAAATCTAATCATCCAGTATCAGGGCAGGAACATGTATACTATTTTTTAGAGACTAATTTGATTGCCTTCAAATTTCCTACACCTGAAATAATTCTCCTGCGAGAATTGTTCTAAAAACAATAATGGATGCATGTTAAGCTGATACTTTGGGTAAAAAATACATAAATAATTAACTGATGGTTATAAAATAATTTGGTCATGATGTTTCTCACTGCTGGCACAAAATTACCTGTTCAGGCAACATTTGGTTTCTAGTTTTAACCAAATAACTGCCAAAACAAGAAGTCATGGGATTTGTATTCCAAAAAATTTAAATTCAAATTAAATAATCAACTATATGTAGTGCTATACTCTAAAAAACACAATGACATTTTTCTCCTAAGCCTTTAGCAACAAGCTACCTTGCAAGTGCAAAATACATCATTGCATCCATGGCAAATGGTTGAATATTAATTCATTAAAAAAATCTTGACGACAAGGTACAAGAGCCCCCACCTGGGCATAGTGCAGCCTGAAATTAAATCCAATATATTTGTCCCATTGACAAATGAGCTTATGACAATGAGCACATGAGCTCCAATTGGACAAAAGAGCTTTCATTATTCAATGCTTCTCTTAACATGTAAATGAAGTTACATTCTAAATGTCATTAATAAATTATTACTTGTTAAACCTGCCTTTTGAGCTACCAACATCATCTAAATAATTGTTCAACTCCTTGAAAATTATAATGTATATTTATTTGTATTTGTATATTTATTTGATCATAAAATGTTATTATGAATCCATTTTTATCCTCTGGTTCCAAGTGGAACCACTCAGCATTATTGGGTTAAACTCTTGACTTACTCTCTTGTGCTCACCATATCAATTATGTTCTAACTAATCTGAACTTACCGCATGCTTGTCTTATCAATGCTAAGGGTTTTTGGTTTTAATTAACTGCTGCAAGTGAGGTTGTTTTATTTGATTACCTATACTTTTATCGATCATGTTCTATCTTCTTGCAGGTCAAATACCTCTCTCGTTCTCCCAATGTCTGGTTACAATTCATTCAATCCACAACTGCACCAGTAAACACTACACTGCACTTCAACAATACATCCATATCCAGAAGACTACTTTCATTCACCTAAATTGTTGCCAGAGACTTAAGAACCTGACTCAACTATTCCATTGTGACAGTAACATTATGAAGCATAGTGGATGTATGTCATTTAAAAATATTTTCTAGACCAATATTGTTTTCCTACTTTGTGAAACATAAGGGGGGGGGGGAAACCCTAAAATTTTCGGATTTGGCTTTTCACGAAAGGGGGGCAGGGGGGAGTTCTGTAACAAATTAGATAGGATCTAATTTGCTGCCCAGCACTATAAATAGTGTTTGCTTGAGGTGCAGCTCAGTAACCTGCCTGGCGTTGCATGAGGAGGTGCGCATGTAGTCGCTTCCCCTGAGTGGAATCAAGCTCCAGAAATGTTTAGTTTTGTATCCTTGCTACATTGAGTGCCTATTGCGATGCGGACGGAACTTTGTCAGACAGTACATTCACAGTTATTGTCACAGAAAACCTATCTCCTAGAGTTATGAAGCTACAGCGATGAGACATATACCATTCGATTTGTAAAGGCCATACCTATTGAGTATTGAAGCCCTTTTAGCGCATTTTCTCATTTATGAAAAAAATGCACTATAGTGCTTGCTATGTCCATCCATCTGTCCATCCGTGATTTCATGTTTTCATCAACAAGAAAATGCGCTCTGTCAGTCACTGCAGTGAGTACTGAGTTATATTTTTTTAGATTTGTGCATAGTTAGGATTCAAAATGGTGAGGAGGGGGTAAAATTTGAAGAAAATGAGAAAAAATTGAAAAATGAGTAAAAAACTAAGGCAAAAATAAAAAATTGGGCTTCATTACTCGATTGGTATGGTCTTTACACATCAAATGATATGCATCTCAATGTTGTAGCTTGAAAACCCTAGGAGGAGATAGATTTCTACAGTACCCCCTTTTTTGTCCGTTTTCTATGAATTTCACGTTTTCTATTAATATTTTCAAAAAAATCATATGAACAAAATGTTCTTGTATTTTGGTTTTAAAAAAATCACCCATCAATGAGGAAATTAGGAGGAACAAAAATTAGGATATCTGATGATTTTTTTCATATCACATCATCTTGATATGTCTCAAATGACCATAGGGCAAGTTACAGGACCTGTTAATAGTTATAACACTACATTTGCATTAGTTTTTCATATTCCAAACCTGAGTATGTTTTTTTAGGCCAGCACTATACACACTACTGCATATATATTAGTATTGAATGGCAGAATTAGCTTCTTCAAACTAGGGCTGTTAATGACCATAGAAGTTATTTAACGATTTAAATTTTCAGGGTTGAATGATTCTTCAGATAATATTGATCAAAATGCAGGTTTTAGGAAGTAATTTTAATTTATTACCAATGTTTATAATGTGACAGCATTCAATTTTAAGTTATACAGAACATTGAATACTGAAATTATGGCAGAAATAAGTCCATGTTACATGTAAGTATGATACAACACAAAAATGTTGTTTGATCAGTGAAAATAATGTCAAACAAACTCAAAATTCTGAGTCTCCTACAATTTTTAAGCTACAGCATTGAGAGACATCTAGCAACTTTAGAAGCCCTTCTAAGCAGATTTTCTCATTTATAGAAAAAATGCCCTATTGTGCTCGTCATGTGTGTCCGTCTGTCTGTCTGCCCGTGACTTCACATTTTTGTTGACAAAAAATGCACTCTCACTCACTGCAGCAAGTACAGAGTTATATTTTTTTCTGATTTGTACCTGGTTTGGATTATTTATGTATTGAAAAAATCAAACTGAGTACTCATTGCTGTGAGTGACAAAGAGCACATTTTCTCCTCAACAAACATGAAGTCAAAGATAGACACACAGATGGACATGACAAGCACAATAGTGCCTTTTTCACATGAATGAGAAAATACACTAAAAATTAGCAAGGTAGGGAGGAAATTGGTATAACATGGAAAATATAAAATAAATTGAAACAAGGGCTTCTAGAGTTGATAGATATTCTCTTCATGAATCAAATAAGATGTCTCTCGATGTTGTAGCACATAAATTGAAGGAGATTTATGATGGACCTCCCTTCTTTTTTGCTGTTTTCTATGCATTTTACATTTTCTTTTAATTTTTCAAAAAATTCATACAAGCAAAATGTTCTTTTAGCAATTTACATATGTATATGAAGTTTCAGAAAGATTGGGCATTTAGTTAGAGATATCATTTTTAGGGTAGACACTCCCTTAATGGAGGTTTCTAAATCAGGGATCAACCCTGTTCATTATGTTAAGTTCAATTTAAATTAAAAAAAAAACAATGTAACTTTCTAAGTTGAGTTCAAGTCCTGCTTTCTCAATGTGGAGTGAAAGCTAGTGAAATCAGTTTCTATGTTGAAGTTAATAATATCATGATATATCCATACATAGAAGATTTTAATATAGGGTATGCCACCCATCCATCAACGTGTAAAGAAATTGCATTGCATTCAAATTCTATCACAGCATTGCACACCAACAAAAAGATAAGAAAATTTTAGAATGAAATGCAAGAACAAGAGAACTTACCTGGGCCTTATGCTCCATGCCTTGATGTGACAAGGATACTTCAGCCTCATTGAGACGCTTGGTCAGCAGCGCCTGGATGCGGAGCTCAGCTATTTCATCGTCACTGTTGCCCTCAGACTCCTTGACATGCTGAGTGAATATTAGAATACATTTATTATCTATGAGTAGAATTTTGATTGTAGCATGAAAGGTAAATAATATACATTTAAAAATTACTTTTTAAAGACAATACTTCTAAAGAATCCAGTGTTTCCAATGTTGCAGATGTACAATGAATTTCTAATTTTGTTTTCAGATATTAAAAAATTAATTTTTTAATTTTTTAACATACAAAAATTTTTTTAGATTTTTTATTCTGTCACTTCATGCATTGCCTCCAACTTCACACAAGTGTGCAAAATTTCATATCAATTGGACAGGTAAAAGTGTGTCAAATGTCAATTATAAGCTTTGTAGCTGACAAAATTATTTTTTCAGCTTTTTTACTATTAAAAAAAATTATCCTTAAAATAGCTTATTTTGTCATTTGATTCATGCATTGTCTCCAACTTTACGCAAGTGTGCAAAATTTCAGATATAGGATAAGTAGAAGTGTATTAAATTTTGATTACAAGATTTGTAGCAGACAGACAAACAGATAAGAAGTGAAGTTAAAGAGAAGTGTTGTGAAAAGGGCATAAACTATTGCTACCTATTGGGACAATTTTATTCTGCTGGAATGAACAGAATATCCTTGTATATCATAAAAAATGTAACAAAATTATTGATGATCATAGCCAGCATCATGATAAATAATTGAGGTCAACAGGCAAAAAAAAAAAAAAGAATTTAAATTTTTGCAAATGTTTAAAGTAATATAAAAATTTGGCTGACTTGTAAAAACCTAAGTGACACTTGCCTTTTACATTCAAATTAGAACTCACACATCAAAAACATGCTTCAAGTATTGGTTTATACAATGAAGACTTGACAAATCAAACTTAAGTCCAGAATGAAAACTTGTAATATGACAAGAGATAATAAAAATAATTCATCAACAAATAAATACTTATCACAAATAATTATAACCTGAGTATTATAAGAAATATTACCTGTCAACTGTTAATACCTAAAATGAATTTCAAATGCATCATGCCTTAGCTATAGAATAGATGCCTAACTAATGAGATGTCAAACTAATCCTAATTTTGTGATAATAAAATTTTAAAAAATAATTACGTGAACATCCCTTATGCCTTACCTCTGAGCTCATGATGAACCAGTCAGTGAGAGAACACTAATTATTAGTCATCATGGGAAACTGAGATATTCAACTGGGCATTCATACACAATTTCTCATAATTGATAATAGTCATTTCTGAAAGGAAAAAAAGGTTTCATATTAAAATTTTAATTTTATTGATGGTACTAAAATTGAAGTTAAAAAGATAGCATGTATATTTGGAACTTGTCAATAAATAGCATGAACATTGGGAGAATATTCAACAAATAGGGGCACTCTAAAAAAACTTTCCACTGGAACAAATTTTTCCTCAACCCATTTGTGAGAAAGCATAGATATAAGCAGAAATGAAAATTTTGAAAGCATACCAAAAAAGTCTGATCACTGACAGACTGGTTTTTCTTGTATTTATATTTCAAAAATTTTCATACCGTCAAACAGTTAACGGGGTAATAAGGGATGGTTTTAAGCGTTTTTTTAAGAACTTCTTAATGAATCATTTCATAAAAGAGTTTAGGCTCATTTTAATAGTTTTTGCAAGGGCTATCATAATGCATCACCAAAAATATTCTATATGCTATTTGTAAGGTGCCAGATGCATAATAAAGGCCTCACAAAGTACTGCCTGGGAACAGGGTAATAAGGGGCACTTGAACTAAAACTTTATTGTAAAACGTTTGAAGCATGAAGAGTGTACTCATGACTCATCCATTACTAACAGTACTTTGAAGTCTGAAGTCTTCCTTTTCCCTTGTAGATGAAGTTGAAGTAGATGCAAAATAAGTGATATTTTCTGTTATTTTTATTTGTTTTTCCTTTATTGATATATTACCATATCCATACATTATCATATTATTGATGTGATATTACCATATCCATGGACATGCCATTGTGCATTTACACCAACCTTGTCCACTGCAAGCCAGATTGGAAAAAACGGGATATCAGATGAACTAGTACGTCTGTTAATGAACTCTGCAGGATGTTTAGGCTGCTAAAAATTGCCACTAATTCTACAGGAAGCTTAAAATAATAATATAATTTTAACTGAACTTTGTTACACAGTCCGGGAAACAAAAATCTGTAGAAAGTACCAAGCAGGGAGCAATGACTGAACAAGTGACAAGCATCAGCTCAGCTGAAGATCAGATGAGCACTGCAAACCGCAGCTGACGCAGCAACTACTAGACCTGGCACAATGTTCATGCATGTCATAGAGCTTGGGAATAATCTAATGTGAACATAATCAATGCGTGAATGACTGGCTGTGCAGACTGCCTGTGCTCACCACAGTAAAAATAATACTTGGCAACTTTGCCCTCAAACTTATATCTACCAAGAGACGAGGTTGCCTTTGCCCTTTATTACTACTGTTTGTGTGACTACGTGATATAGCTGATATTTTCACAATTCTGAAGACACACAGTGTTTTAAAAGTATTTAATAATAAACTATCATCAACCCGGGCTACTCAGGACAATTTTGAAAATTTTTCATTCATAACTTCTTACCATGAAACATTTCATAAACAAGTTTAGGCTCATTTCAAAGCTCTTTGCAAGGGCTATCGCATGGCTTCTCCATAAAATTACATATGCTATTTGTAAGGTGCCAGAAGCAGTAAGTGTCCCGAGTAGCCCCGTTGAACGGGGCTACTCGGGACACTTGGAATAAAACTTAATTTTAAAACATTTGAAGCATGCAGAGTGTACTCATCAATTACTAACAGTACTCTGAAGACCTCCTCTTTCATTGTAGATGATGTAGAGGTAGAATAAATGACATTTTCTGTGATTTTTACTTGTTTTTCCTTTATTGATATATTACCATATACATTAATTTTTTAAATTACCGTATTATTGATGCAATATTACCTTATCCATGAGCAGGTCATTGAGCATTTCAACTACCTTGTCCACTGCAAGCTTCATATCACCAGCCTTATAGCATTTTTTCTGTATCTGTAAGCTTACAGGATGGTTTGTAATTTCACACCATTTTAATTGGGTTAAGTGAATTTACTATAAAAAAGATCACGAAAAACATACCTGAAACAGAGAGGAATGTTTTAGTGACAACCATCATATGTTTTGGAGAAATAAATTATAGTTTAGGTCAATTACTTTTCATTCTATGATGCCTGGTGCACAATTCTATATATGACATTCTATGCACAATTTTGTAATGACCGATGATGCACTAATTTTTTGACAAGTGAATTTTTTTGCTGAGCGAGGTAAATGTAATCAATATTCTTCGCTTTTATTCAATTTTTTTTTAACTGGAGCCTTTGCCAAGGTTCTACTGTAAATGCGTTTTTGGGGGTGTCCCAAATGGGGGGGGTGTCCCGAGTAGCCCTGCCGTGCGGAAATGGCTGCTTTTTTTTATTGAGGTATGTAAATTCTGCAAATAAGTTTTCATGCTGACACTTGTCTGCCACTTTTTTCTAAGCGAATTTTTTAATATGGCAAATATTTTTTTTACTACAGACCTTAGCAGAAGTAACTTTTCAAAATATCGTTTTTCACAATTTTTTTCAGGAATTTTTCAAAGCTAGTAAATGTAGTATTTTTGAACTTCCTTTATACTACATAGATAGGTAAAATGTTGACATTTATGCCACTATATTTAGTTTTGTAATATTCCAATTAGTTTTGCTACTAAAACAGTTTCACGCCGTGTCGGAGGACTGTCCCAAGTTACCCTGCCCGTCCCAAGTAGCCCCAGTTGACAGTAAGTTTTGTTCTATTAAATAAATTGATAAAGTTTGCTTCAATGTGCTTTTTCTGGCAATTTTCCTTGGCAACGCGTGCTATGCCTGGTATTAAGTATACATATGCAAACATATTTCATGATTTGGATCTCTGGCAGCAGCGTGTGATTTTGCCGACGCATCTTGGATTTTAATGAGAAACCTTAATATTTCTTCCTGAAATTTGATCAAGCAATACTGATGGATGAAGTAATCATTTGTAACTAGTTATACTACATTAACTTGCAGTTTTTTATTAAATAAGGACAGTGATAGTCACAGGTGTGGATCTCTGATGGAATCGATTAATTTGATGTCAGAGAAATTTCCTTAATTGTTTCTTCATTGTAACAGACAAGCAATGATTTGTCACAGTATATTTTGCTTGTAAATACTAGCGAGTTTGGCTCACAGCAAAATATTTCAAAGTTTGGTTGCATTTTTTGAAAAAACTTAAATTAAAGTCAATGTTTTCTGTTCCAAAATGGTTCACATGAAGTTTGTTATTGCCATCATTATTGGTGCCATTATAACTCAGTTGGCTCTGTAGTTGGAGTGTATTACTATGCATCAACAGACATGCATGTACAACTTCGTGGTAATGGTAGCATGAACTAATTTTACCAAAGCGTACAAAATTACTTAATATTAATTTCACTCATTGGTCAACACATCTGCTTCCTAGCAAAATTTATTTGAAGAATAGTGTAAACATTTCTATTATGTAAATAACTTGCATTAATAAAATCAATAGTTGCTTTGTTAGCTGATGGTCTTTAATTTTTCCTGGGTAAAAGAATTTAGATTACCATCAACCAGGGCTACTCGGGACAGATTTGAACGATTAGTTTTAAATAACAGGTAATAACTTCTTACGATGAAACATTTCATAAACAAGTTTAGTCTCATTTTATAGCTGATTGGCAGGGCTATTGAATGGCGTTGTCAAAAAAATTCCATATGCTATTCGTAAGGTGCCAGACGCAAAATAGAGATTGTCCCGAGTAGCCCCGTCGGTTGGGGCTACTCGGGACAACGGGAATAAAACTTCATTTCAAAACATTTGAAGCATGCAGAGCGTACTCATCCATTACTAACAGTACTCTGAAGTCCTCCTCTTTCATTGTAGATGATGTAGAGATAGAATAAATGACATTTTCTGTGATTTTTACTTGTTTTTCCTTTATTGATATGATATTGCCATATACATTAATTACCGTATTATTGATGTGACATTATCGTATTATTGATGTGATATCACCGTATCCATGAACATGCCATTGAGCATTTACAACAACCTTGTCCATTGCAAGCTTTATATCAGCAGCCTTATAACATTTTTTTCGTATCTGTAAGCTTACAGGAAGGCTTGTAATTTCACATTTTAATTGGGACTTCCCGTGATCATTAACTTCGCGTGGTCATTAACTTCACGTGATCATTAACTTCCCGTGGTCATTAACTTCCCGTGGTCATCAACTTCCCGTGGTCATTAACTTCGTGTGATCATTAACTTCGCGTGATCATTAACTTCGCGTGATCATTAACTTCCCGTGGTCATTAACTTCACATGATCATTAACTTCACGTGATCATTAACTTCCCGTGATCATTAATTTCCCCTGGTCATTAACTTCGCCTGATCATTAACTTCGCCTGATTTTTTGCTACATACCTTAGCAGTTGTAACTTTACAAAACATAGTTTTTCACCATTTTTTTCAGGAATTTTTCATAGCAAGTAAATGTAGTATTTTTTGACTTCCTTTATACTAGATAGATATGAAAAATAGTTACGTTTACACCACTATTTTTAGTTTTGCGATATTCCAATTAGTTTCGCTACTACAACAGTTTTACGCCGTGTCATAGGCCTGTCCCGAGTAGCCCCGCCTGTCCCGAGTAGCCCCGGTTGACGGTATTATTGTCTTTCCTGTCAATGATTGTTCAACCTTTAAAATTGCCAAACAAATAGGTTATAAAATTAGCTTTCCCTGAAAAGCTACATGATTGATGACATGAACTTTTTTTTATAAAATTTCATGACAGCTAATTCTACCACCGAAATTGAGTATATACTATTATACCTATCAGGTTAGAAGTAGCATGTAGAAATATATTTTCCAAGTGATGGAAAACATGATAATGTATTGATGTCAGTGCACAAAGTCAACATGCACATTGCATGCATGGTGGCAAATGCTATTCAGGTCCTACAAATTGTGAACGTAGGTAAAAGTGCCTGTTTATAAAACATAGATATGAAATACAAAAATCAAAAATAGGCTTCTATTTCCTTTTGTGAAACTTACCTTCTCAAGAATTGATTATCATTAATCAATGTCAGATTTTGAGTAAAATGTTAACTTGTTAGTTTTGT